ACAGATGAAAATTTATCAAGTTTCATTGTCAAGTTCGCAGACAACATAAAGATATTTGGGAAAGTGGCAAGTAAAGGCGATATTACAACAGTGCAGAAAAACCTGTATGAGCTGTTCCAAGTTTAAATGTCTCGAGACTGGCAAATGTTCTTTAACATTACGAAATGTAAGACCCAATATGTAGGAAACAATGATCCTAATGACAACTACAGTAAAGCCTTGAATAACGATGGTAATGTGTCGTCCAATATTGCAGTAAGGTGAATCATCGTATCGTGAATCATTAATTACCATTAATAATGAGATGCATTCCCTAGTGTGACCTTTTCATATCTTTTGTGTGGCTTTTTACCCTTTTCCCCCCCAAACAGTAAATTAATGAAAAATAAAAGCTATATTCTTCAAATAATGTTTGTGAATGCACCATATACAATATAAATCAATAATAATCTGCAGTCACACAAGACGAGACAGGACACCATTGTTGTTGTCAATATTTACACCCATGACAATGGTTCTCCGTCTGAAACCGAAGAAAATGGACCCTAGTTGTAGTTACAGTAAAATTAATGTAAAACAAATATGTATGTTTTAATTAATGTTATTTAATGTACAGTAGAAATAACCACTGATGGTAAAGAAAAAAGTGGAGACTGATAGCAGATGGCCAATATATAATAATAATAATAATGATAATAATAATAATAATAATGATAATAATAATAATAAACGGTTTATTAATAGAGTTGCAGCCGGTGGCTGAAATATACACTTGCATTTGATTTGGACATAATGATATAATATGCACTGAATACATTTACAGGGCTGTACAGTACATAAATCAGGCATTGTTTATTATTTTGACAATAGATGGGATGGTGCTATTCTTATATCTATCGGTGCGGGCTCCTATGGGCTGAATTTTGTTGTAGTGGCGGACTGCGCGAGGTGGGTGGGGGGCTGCCGGTGGGTGGGGGGCTGCCGGTGGCAGGAGGTGGCGATGACGAGGGTGGTACAATAGTTGGCTGCTAAACCTTTCCGGTGCTTGGTGGTGGAGGTCACTGAGGGATGGCATTTCCAGGGTGGAGAGAGCGTTGGTGTAGCCGGAGTAGTCAGTGCCGAGCATGATTCTGCAGGCCCTTTTCTGTACCTTCTCTAGCTGACGTTGTTGGGTGGAGTTGAGAGAAGACGACCAGGCTGGTGACGCATACGTTAGTTTGGGGAGAATAAAGGCATTGTAGATGGTCCCAAGCTCTGGCGTGGGTGTCCCAAGTGACCTAAGTCGTTGTAGCATGTAGAGACGGTCCGAGGCTGCCTTAACTGTGTTATTTACATGGGCCTTCCAGTCAAGTTTGTTTCTATAGTTACACCCAGGAGTTTGGCAGACTGCACCAGCTGGAGAGGATGGGCACCCACTGTGACTGCTGGGGCTTGCACTGGAGTGGTGGCAGTATTGATGTGCATGACTACGGTTTTGGTGTGGTTGAGGGTGACCTTGTTCTCCGTAGTCCATGCCTGTAGCCTGTAGCACTGTTCCATGTACGTGTGCACATGGAAATATAGTGTCGGAATGCGCATGTGTGCATAGTGTCAACAAAGGCTGTAAGAGACTGCTCCTTATAAGTTGTATTTCTGACGAATTCAGCGAGTCTACTAATCCCAGCCTGTGCAGACAACTATAGTAAGACCCAGTTATCAGCACAGTGGCATCATTTTTTTTTTACTTTTGGACTTTGTCATTTTTTGGGGATAAAACATCTGGTCCTACCACCCAATCCCTCAGGGCAAAGTTTTTCAAGTTTGCGCATGCACATTGTGATAGTGTGACGTAGCAGTGACGTCATTACCACTCCACCTGACTGCAGTTTTGCCAACGTGCCCTATGCTCGCCGTTAAATGCTCCCGTTCGTTGGAAACGGGGGCAGTAGGTGACAGTGATGCTGACGATTTTCTTCTTGAAGACAAGTCAAAGAAGAAGCAGAAACCACAGAAGTCAGGGTCTCCAGCAGGGGCCATGGCTCCCCCTCGCACCCCTTCTGGGGCTGTAGAGGGTGGCCTCCTCCTGTCATCGGGGTCCCCAAGTGAGCTTACATGTGGCTCAGTGACCGACCCTCCGCCGACGATGGACATAGGGGATTACCTTTGTCTCCCTGCCCCGTCGCGCCTTCGTCGTCTCGCCTTTCCTCGGGACTTGCCTCTGAGCACAGGGACGACTTGGTTCTTCCGTCACTGCTCTCCACTTCAGGACTCAACACTTCGCCTCCGCCGAGGTCCCACAGCCGTGATAGTCACCACACAAATGGACGAGATGGTACGCCTGCTCACTCAGGTGGGCTTTCCTGCTCCCCAGAGGGAGGTGATGCTGAAGTTCACCACCATCACCCCAGAAACTCGTCGTACCAAGGTAATGATTCGCCACGTACCCTGGGAGATCCCTATCAATGATCTTCGCCCTCTTCTCCCACAACTACTGGACATGGAATGCCGCATCAACCCGGTCTCCAAACGTCCATCCAACGAACTCATCGGCTGGTGGGTGGGCCCCCTCCCTCCGAAGGTGAATGTAGGACCAATTCACAACTGTCCTCTCGACTGATTTTTCGGAACCCTGAAAATCTGTGGCCGTTGC